ACATAGAAGATAATAGAGTCTTTGATTTCTTGGTTGGCTTAAATCTAGAGTTTGATTTTACCAGGCAACACATTCTTAGTGCTGGCATTGTCTCTCTTGCTTTCGCTTACTCCCTTGTACAAGGGGAAGAAAGTCAAAGGACTGCCATGATGCAACCTCCTATGATTGATCACTCTGCTTTTATGCCATCTCGACCCAAGCAAAATACTAGCAAACACCCTATTATTGAGAAGGCTGAGGATGTTATTTGTGATTATTGCAAGAAGCCAAGACACACTAAGGAAAGGTGTTGGAAGCTCAATCCTCATTTAGAGCCGGAAAAGTATAAAACTGGTAAGAAGGGCAATGCTCACTTAGCTACAATTGGTAATGGTGCTCAACCTTTTGATGTGCTTGACTCCTTTGACGTAATGGACAAACTTAGGAATATATTGTTGCAGCTGGAAAAGGGTGGTACATCCTCCTCATCTGGTTCTGGACCTAGTAATCCATCTAGTTCATATGCCAAAACAGGTATTGCACTTGCTTGTTCCACATCTTTTAGCCCATGGATTGCAGACTTTGGGACCAATGCCCATATGACTGGTATACCCTCACATTTTACCTCATATAAGTTAACCCCAAGGAAGGGCAAGATTACTGTTGCTGATGGATCTCAAACCCCTATTTCGGGTCAGGGTGAAGTCAAACTCACTCATAACCTTTCTCTTGGATTTGTTCTTCATGTGCCCCAGCTACATAAAAATTTGTTGTCTGTTAGGTCTCTCATGAAATCCCCTAATTGCTCAGTGACTTTTTTTCCTATCCATTGTGTTTTTCAGGACCTGAGCACGGGGAAGATGATTGGAAGCGGGCATGAAGTTGATGGAGTCTACCTCTTTGATGGACCTTTGGAGCATGGACTATCAAGCCAAACTAAGTTTTGTTCAAATGAAAAAATGTCTTTTGAAATTATGGCATTGTCGTCTTGGTCATATGTCTTTCAATTCTGTAGAACTCTTGTTCCCATACTTGTTTGACTCTGTGCCAAAGTTGAATTTTGAATGTGAAGTTTGTCATTTGTCAAAACAATGTAGAACCACATATTTTGCAAGCAGTAAAAGAAGTAACGTTGCTTTTCAGTTGATCCATACTGATGTTTGGGGCCCATATGCTATCCCTTGCATGGGTGGGTATAAATATTTCATCCTCTTCATTAATGACTACAGTTAGTGTACATGGCTCTACTTGATGAAAAGTCGGGATGAAGTTCCTATGATTGTTCAAAACTTCATGAATATGGTAGAGACAGTTTGAGAAAAGAGTGAAAATAATAAGATCTGACAATGCCAGCGAATACTTTGAACATCAATTGCATAGATTTCTTGAAGATCGGGGTATCACTCACCAAAGTTCATGTAGTCATACTCCACAACAAAATGGGGTGGCTGAAAGGAAGAACTAGCATGTCGTTGAAGTTGCTCGTGGTCTACTGTTTCAAACTCATGTTCCCACTCGCTTTTGGGGTGATGCTGTTGAGACAGCTGTGTATCTTATTAACAAACTCCCGTCAAGGGTCCTAAACCTTCATTCTCCTCATCAACTTCTCTTCCCCGATGAACCTCCTTTTAATCTACCCCTCAAGATCTTTGGTTGTGTTTGTTTTGTTCCTGATATGAGTTATTCCCGAAATAAGTTTGATCCTAAATCACCTAAATATGTATTCCTTGGTTACTCTCCAGTCCAGAAAGGCTATAGATGCTTTGATACTTTATCTGGCAAGAGATATGTCTCTAAAGATGTTACCTTTTTGGAGTTCTCTTCCTTTTTCTAGTCATCCCATCCTTCTCTTCAGGGGGAGAATGTGAGTGAAGATTGGACTCCCTTTTGTCTTCCTGTACCTACCTCTATTCCTCCCTCTCTTCCTTGTAACAATGGTATTCCTCCTCCTCCTCCTCCTCCTCCTCCTCCTCCTCCTGTGTATCAACCTCGGTCCTAGCAACAGTTTTTCATCAGGCGCAGTAAGAGGGTGGCTCCTGAAGCTAAATGCCCATCACAATTTGATTTCCCAGACTCAGGTAATCTTGAAGCTCCTAACTATCCTATTATTGATTCTGATCTTGATCTTCCTATTGCCATTTGAAAAGGGAAGAGGACATGTAGCAAGTATCCTATTACTAACTATTTGTCTTATGATGCTCTCTCACCTTCCTATTGTGCCTATATTTCTGCCATCTCTTCTGTTTCCATCCTTCGCAGTGTTACAGAGGCAATGCAGTCCCCTCATTGGAAGGAAGCTATGAACCAAGAGATGGAGGCCTTAATAAAGAACCAGACTTTGGAGGTTGTTCCTTGCCCAAAAGATAAGATTCTCGTTGGGTGTAAGTGGGTTTATACTGTTAAGCACAAGGCGGATAGCTCAATTGAGAGGCACAAAGCTCGACTTGTAGCCAAAGGATACACTCAAACTTATGGCATTAATTATCCAGAAACCTTTGCTCCGATTGCTAAAATAAACTTTATTTGTGTGATCCTGTTTCTTGCTGCCCATTACTCTTGGCCTTTATATCAAATGGATGTAAAGAATGCCTTCCTTAATGGGGACTTAAAAGAGAAATTGTATATGGACTTACCACCTGGGGTAAGCTTTCCTAACAGTGATGGAAAAGTCTGCCGCCTGAAGAAGTCCTTGTATGGACTCAAACAATCCCCGAGAGCCTGGTTTGACAAGTTCAGAAATGCTATCTTAAAGATTGGGTTTGCTCAATCTCAGGCTGACCACACCTTATTCATTAGAAGAGTTGATGGTAAAGTAACAATGTTGATAGTATATGTTGATGATATTGTTGTGACAGGTATCTCTCAATTAAAGTCCTTCCTCTCTTTCGAATTTGAGATTAAGGACCTTGGTGATCTCCTATATTTTCTTGGCATTGAAGTTGCAAGATCCAAGAAGGGAATTTTTCTGTCACAAAGGAAGTATGTACTTGATTTGCTTCATGAAGTTGGGAAATTAGGGTGTAAGCCTGCAGAAACTCCAATTGATCCTAACTACAAGTTGAGTTCCACTAAAGAAGTTCTTCCAGACAGGGGGATATATCAAAGATTGGTAGGCTGTCTTCTGTATCTTTGCTTGACTAGACCTGACATATCCTATGCTATTAGAGTGGTTAGCCAATATATGCATGAACCCAAGACATCTCATATGCAGGCAGTTAACGGAATTTTAGCCTACCTGAAAGGATGCCCTGTTAAAGGGATGTTGTATTCCAATCACGACCATCTAAAGATCGAGGCTTACACAGATGTTGATTGGGCAGGGTCCATTGATGATAGAAGATCTACATCTGGTTATTGTGCCTTAGTGGGAGGCAATGTGGTTTCATGGAGAAGTAATAAACAATCTGTGGTTGCTCGTTCTAGTGCTGAGGCAGAGTACAGGGCAATGGTTCATGAAGTGTCTGAACTACTCTGGTTGAAGACCTTATTGATTGAGATGGGGATCCAAGCAGATATCCCAATGAGACTATATTGTGACAATCAAGCAACCATAAATATTGCCCACAATCTTGTCCAACATGATCATACAAAGTATATTGAGGTGGATAGACACTTCATTAGAGAAAAGGTTGCTAGCGAAGAGATTTGCCTTCCTTTTGTAAGGTCGGAAGACCAACTAGTTGATAGACTTACTAAAGGTGTCAACCATCCAAAGTTTGCTAAGAACCTTGACAAGCTGGGCATGATTGACATATATGCTCAGCTTGAGGGGGAATGTTGAAATTGCTTAGACAGAGGTATTTTTGGAACTTTTTCTCTTCCTTGTACTATTTTTGTATTTGGGCACCCAAGTAGGGGCTTCCTTGTAATTACTATTTTCAAAGTATAAAGTTATTTTTTAAAGGGTGTGAACAATGATAAGAACACACCTCTCGACACATCTCTTCTTCTTCTTCTTCTTCTCTCCTCTTGCTTTCTCTCTTCTAAACCCTAGTTTCAACTTTTATTTGTCAACTATTCCAATCTAATGGCTGATTTAAGAGAGTTGGACTCTCTCTAATCTTACCCTAAATGAATTAGGAGTTGTAAATAGGTTAGAAGAGGGCTCTTGCAGCCCTCCCAAGTCTATAAATAGAGAGGAATGGGAGGGTATTGAACCATGCTTTGTTCTCCCTTTTAGCTGAATTCGATCCCCCATGTGAGACATTTAAACTAGGGTTTTAAACCCCACTCGACTAGAGCTTATATCCATTGGTTCAAGCTCTATTCCAGCCTTGTTTTGGGTCAAGAAAATCACCCAAAAACGTGACAAAGGTCGGACCATTGCTTCAGTATATTTTGGAGAAGATATCTAAGACTGCAAGGATAGAGTGGCAACATTTTCAACTTGTTGCAGTGTTATCGGGAAGATTCAAACTTGGGTGTGAACACCACTTCAAATTCTGCATTTGTGGACTTTGAAATCAGATAATGCACTCAATCTTTATCCAAAATGATCTGATCTTTCATGATCCAAGAACCCAATCAGTCCTATGAGCAAAATCAGTTTTCTCATGTGTGATTTCAGCACTAGGGTTTTGTGAACTTTTGAAATTCTACCTTTCTTGTTGCTGGTTCGAGGGGCAAGCGAAAAGGACATGTAATGAACGAAGTGGAATTGTAGAACAAACTTAGTTTTGCGTGTGTGTGTGTGTGTGTGTGAGAGAGAGAGAGAGAGAGAGAGAGATTAAAACATAGGGAAGGAAAGATGCAGGAGAGGTAAAGAACTTAACTCTTCTCTTGGAAGTGGAGTTGCAGGGAAGCTTTTTCTTAAGGGGGTTTTTGGTTTATGCTTTGCTGGTTGACATTTGAGGAGAAAAAGAGTTTGAAGTCTTTGCATTCACTGGTGAGCATCTAAGTAAAGGGGTTCCTAGGTTCATTGAGGTTTCAGTATTATATGCATGTCATTGCCATTCCATTAAGAAGTTAAAGACAGTAAGCCACACTTTATCATAAATTAACTAAAAGACACTAGGACATACCTGGTCATAAATAAGGCTAGCTTTCTCAAAACGCTTTCGTGCTTCCTGCACCAATATAAGATTCGTCGCATAAAAAAATACAGTTTTTATAAAGAGATTAAAGAAATATAAAAGCTGTAGGGAGTATATGAAGAAGACCTAAATATATGATGCATCTAACTATTTAATTCCAGAACAGTGCTTTAAATTGGCAAACTACCAAGAAGAGGAGAGAGTACATGAGGCCCAAACCCATGCCTTAAAATCAAGGCCACCCCCAAAACAAAATGAAATGCGCACAAGCTACAATGCCATAACTCATAAATAACCATGGAAAACAAAGCAAGGCATGGCAGTTCCCCCAAAGTAACACCTCCAATGAATTTTCACTCAATCTAAGCTATAAGTTAATGAATTGGCTGAACTTTGCCACCAGATGAACAAGATTTTCACTCCTGCTGAAGTGCTAATTTCTTGACTCTGATTTCAACATACCCACATTGTCACTGAAAACACAAAGAAAACTATTTTCTTAGGGATTTCCAAAATAGCACATTATAAAACTTTTAAGTTCAACCAAAAAGAGGAACATAGGAGAAATGGTATGAGTGGTAGCCCCAGCAATAAAACACCAATACAGTAGTCTTAGGCAGTGTAACTTTGTCAAAATATATTTTAGCATTGTTCTCAAAATAGACAGAAATTATGGTGGTTTTGCCTTCTATATTAGGTAATAATCCTACATAAACGTTGATGGGGTTTATCATGTCATTCCTTTTTATCAGAAACTGAATGTAAGTCATCACAATTTCTCTTGTGGATTTCTATTCCAATCATTCATTTTTAAGACTCCAAATCCTTCACCTAGAACTTAACCTGCTTCAGTTATTACAGTAGTCATTAACATCAACACTGTTCAATCCTAAATGCCTTATATCTTCTCACTTCAAAAGTAATGAGAATATGAAAGAAAATGGTAAAGAACATTAAAAAGATGAAGCAAAAAAAGGTAGGGAATTCAAGGAATATATAGAGAAATGCCAATTATCAATCTCATATTGCTCCAATGGGTTTGAATCAAGCAAAATCATTTTTTCTATGCAAGAGAGTACATACACCTATTGATTTCAACTTTCAATATGCCAAAACTTATTGTTAGAGTTGGCCAAGTAGGGGTAACTTAGTCTTTTTCATTTTACTTTAAGTGGTGATTTGGCAATACTGTTTTATTTTAAATTTCTTGTCCCATACTTAAGTAGGGGCATATTTGACTTTGTACCCTTAATGAGTATAATAAAAGGTTATGGTCGACTAGGAGGGTTTAGACTCTCTAGTTCGACAGATTTCTCCTTTCTCCTCTCTTCTTCTTCTTCTTCTTCTTCTTCTTCTTCTTCTTCTCCTCTCTATCTCTGAACAGAACTTGTCTGAACCATCAAAACATGGTATCAGAGCAATAAATACGAAAAAGGAAGGCTGTGATCTCAAAGTTTCAGGACATGCGATCTCTCCTCTTCTTAATTTCTCCTTTTTTCTGGGCTACGATCTGGGTTACACCAAGTAGAAGGTTGTGGCAACCTTTTTGGTGATTCCAGGATTGCCGCAATCTCCATTACAGGCGTTAGGAAGGTGCGGCAGCCCTAGATTGGTGATTCTAAGATTGCTGTCACCATGAGTGACAGCCCTAGTGTTTGTGTGGTCATGTGTATGGTGGTTCAGACCCTCTACTGAGCAGTTTCAAGAGGGTTTTCTTCCTTGTTTGTTACAGTTATGGTGGTTGGCTATCAATAGTGGTGTGAGGATTTTTTTTTTTTTTGAAGGAGATGGCCCAATGGGTCTGAATGTCTCAATGGTGGTAGTTTTTTTATGGTAGCTGGTTGAAAGAGTGCTGTGAGGTGATGTGTAGACTGCAGCAGTGTTGACTAACAGAAGAAACATTTTTTCTTTGGTTGGTTGATAATTCAGAAGTAGGAAGAGCAATTGATAGTTACCTGTATTGAGAACACCATGGCAGCAACCGGAGATGGTGGTAGTGATCAGAAATCTAGTGTGATGATCCCCTTAGACCACTTAGGTGTGCAAATGACACCAATTAAACTTAATGATGAAAATTATGGGCCATGGGCCAAGTCAGTGGAGGTTTTTCTCAAGGCCGAGAGGAAGGTGAAACATGTGAAGGAGGATAAACCATCAGCTAAATCTCTAGGGTTTGATGATTGGGAACAAGAGGATGCCCAAATCAAGACATGGTTATGGAACAGTATGGAACCCAAGATAAGTGCAAACTTTAGGTTCTTAGATACAACTAAGGAAATATGGGAACATGCAAAGAAACTTTATTCTGGACAGGACAATACTACGAGAGTATATCAACTCTATCAGGAGTACTTTAATTTACAGCAAGGAAATCAGACCCTCGAAGAGTATTAGGCCAGTATGAGGAACCTCAGGAATGAACTTAATGTCTATCACCCCCTCACTTCAGATATCAAAATTCAGCAACAACAATGGGAGCAACTTGATGCAACCAGGTTTTTAGTAGGGCTGAAATCAGAATATGAACCAGTTAGAGTACAAATATTGGGAGGCTCTGCTCTTCTTACACTTGAGGAAGTATTTGCTTGGCTCCATAGGATTTCCCTGGGACCCAAAGAGAGTACCACAAATTTTGACAGATCAGTGTTTGTTGTAGCGAGGAGGTGGACGTGGAAATAGAGGGGGAGGATATGCATTTCGAGGAGGCCATGGTAATCCCATGTTTGGTCGTGGTAGTGGAAGTGATGGAGGTTGTAACTCAAGGGGAGGCCGTGGTAGAGGAAGAGGGCACACTACTAGGAACTGTACACATTGTGGCAGGGAAGGACATTCAATTAATTTCTGTTATGATCAAACACATTCTACATCTACATCTACTTCTGGGAAAGAGATGATGAGTGTACCACAAGATGAGTATAAGAGGTTCCTTCAAGCCACTTCACAACAGAAAACTACTACCCTTGCTCATTCAAGTATGACTTGTCTGGCATCCAAACCTTCTCATTGGATCATTGATTCTAGAGCCTCTGATCACATGACCGGGACTCTAGGTGCGTTCTCTTCCCTCTTTGAAACTTCCACATCCCAAACTGTTATCCTAGCCAATGATTCTTCTTCTCCCATTTGTGGTGTTGGTAATGTTGATATTGCGACTCTTTCTTTATCCTTTGTTCTATATGTGCCCAAATTTACATTCAACCTTATGTTTGTTAGTAAATTAACTAAGGCCCTTCATTGTTCTATCACTTTTTACCCTTCATATTGTGTTTTTCAGGATCTAAAGCTGGTGGGTTTTATTATCTTGCCGGTGGTGGATCTTCAATTGCATTTCAGACTTCCCTAACTCCTCTCCAATGGCACTACCGACTAGGACGTCCATCTCTTAAAACTCTCAAGCTACTAGTTCCTTCTTTGAGTCATTTGTCTTCTTTGTAGTGTGAGTCATGTCAATATGGGAAACACCATCAGGTTTCCTTTAGTCCTAGGGTCGATAGTCGTATGTTGTGTCCTTTTGCTTTAGTTCATTCAGATGTTTGGGGTCCAATCAGAATTGAGTCCTATAATGGTTACAAGTATTTTGTCATTTCCATTGATGGTTGTTCAAGGATGACATGGATTTATTTAATGAAAGAAAGAAGTGAATTGTTTTCTACTTTTCAAAAATTTCATGCTGAAATACGTATGCAATTTGGTGTTCCAATAAAAATTCTTTGTTCGGATAACGATAGAGAATACTTTCTTACTTTCCTTCAACAATATTTGGAACAACATGGCATCATTCATTAGACTTCGTGTGCATCCACCCCTCAACAAAATGGGGTGGTTGAACGAAAGAACCATCATCTTTTTGAGACTACTCGGTCTATCCTTCATCATATGAATGTTCCTAAGCGTTTTTTGAGTGATGTAGTGCTCACAACTTGTTAACTCATTAATCGGATGCCCTCATCCATCCTTCATGGTCGGTATCCCTTTTCTATTTTGTTCCCCACTTTATCTCCATTTCCATTAACTCCCCGGGTCTTTGGGTGTGTGTGCTTTGTTAATAATCTGAGCACTGGTTTAGACAAGTTGGATGTACATTCTATTAAGTGTATCTTTCTTGGCTATTCTCGGACCCAGAAAGGGTATAAATGTTACAATCCTACCACTCGAAAGTCATTTGTCTATCTTGAAGTCACTTTTTTTAGTCCATGTCGTTCTTCTCGGGTCCTGATGTCTTGGCCTCTTCACCATTGATACCTCTTCCTCTTCCCATTGGAGATCACATTCCAGTTGTTCTTGTTATGCCTGAGCCTTCACCTCCTCCAATGCAAATTCCTACTGAACAACCACCGATCCGGCATGTGTATACTCATTGACAGACATCAGCACCTCCTCCAACTTCTACCTCATCTACGGATTGCTCCTATCACAGAGCTGCCTACCTCTTTTGATCTAGATCTTCCCATTGTGTTGCGGAAAGGTAAACGTGGTTGTACCTTACATCCCATATCCAATTATATTTTTGTTTCTCATCTTTCCACTTCACATTGTCAGTTTGTTTCTTTGTTGTCCTCTATATCTATACCCAAGGATGTCTAGGAGGCTCTTACTTTGACGGGGTGGCGTCAAGCAATGGAGGAGGAACTCTTTGCTCTTCAACACAATCACACGTGGAAGCTCACTACTCTTCTTTCAAGTAAGCATGTTGTAGGTTGTAAATGGGTGTATATTGTTAAATATATACCAGATGGGAGTGTGGAACATAGATGTCAAGGCGACGCCTAGGCAACAAGTTGCCCTTTGAGGCTCGCCTCGCCTAATTGCCAAGCACTTTTTTACTATCTATTATAAAATACTTTTTTGTTCATTCTTTTTTGAAATTATAATTATAAAATAGGCAATATTAAACTAAAATAATCATTTGTGTGTTTATATACTAATTTTTTTTTATTATTTTCTTATTTATTAAGGTTTAATCAACACAAACATTGTTAAATGCTGTATTGAACCCTCAAGGACTTCAAAATCTGAACCAATAAGTAAGGAAG